TTACACAGTATACGCCATGGAAATGGAGAAGACCAAGGCGGATGTCGTAACGAAGGTTGTAAAATATGGATCAAATATGATCAAGAGGTTTTCTGGAATGCGTTCGAGAACCGAGCTCGGTTCAGTGGTATTGGGCTTATAGTAAATGGAATAAAAAATGCCATTATATTATAATATAATTTAATATTACCATTTGAATAGAGCTGTGATATTTTATAACCTCACATGGCGAATCTACTTGGATAGATGGACAGAAAAAGAACAGTAATACAAGCTTACAGCCCAACACAACAAACTACAAGGTGAAGAGATCAAGCAATTCTGTAAAAAATTGGAAAGCGCAGTGGAAAAGAAGACTACGTACAAAATTCAAAATTGCCCAATGAGAATTCAACGCGGTGGCCCGGAAAAGACGAACGTCGCTCAGGTGTTCATCGAAGATCGCTTGGCAACGTTCGCTGAAATCAGTTTCCTTCACAGCATGAACACCATTTTTCAGAGATTGCAAAGCGACTGTGAATATGGAGAAGTCCAGAACCACTCTTTTAAGACCAAGTCGGTTATTTGCTGATTGGCAAGAAACGAGCTATATCAAATATGTTGGGCAAACGTGAGGAAATCAAGTGTAAATGGTCGGACCACAAGCTTTTAAATTCTACAGTTATGATCGATGTCGCAGATCAAGAAAGAACCAGAAAAGCCTGAAGGTCGATGCTTTATGAAGAATTACGATCCGGAAACTTTCGCACAGAAGCTGCCTTCAATGCACCTTGAATTGGGCATCGCGAAGGCATAGATGGAGATGGATTATAACCACTATTTTAATGTCATCAATGCGATAGATTAAAACGTCAAAGTGGACAGAAAAATGAACGAGTAGGCAACACATTAACTATTTCCGCAATAGTACAATAAAGGTTAGGTAGAATTAACAGGTCTGAGGAAAACCCACTTTGTGCAAATAATTGCATGAAACAATATTCGACCAGCGTGGTACCGCTTCCATTACTTATAGCGCTGCTTGGCTGCTGAAATCGACAACTATGTGGGTCTCTGGTTGGCACAGATTGCTGTCATGCGCAAGATGAGTTCGGTATTTCAATCGATACTACAGTACCCTTCACAGTATTAGAGTTTCCCAGAAAATCATCAGTCATAAGAAATATGAAAGTAGCGGTCGAAGACGTAAGGAGAGGAGCAGGAAGATATGGCAATCGAATCTACACCCCTGCATCCTCACAACGCAGTTGTACACAGCAATATAGACCAGAAAACATCACCTAATGTCGCTTGTCTTTAAGGAATGAAATGTATTTATTCGTTGAAAATTTGAGCAAATTGAATATCGTTTTTATCACAGGCTGCAGTTGCATTAAAGTGTATGTATGTATGGTAAACTAAAACCTTTTTCAGAATCAACATGCGGCCTGACCTGGATGGATACATATTTCCGCCAATAATCACCGCCAAATATTCTGAAAGACTGGTTGATGAAGTTTTGCCTATGGAGGTTATCACTGTAAGAGCTCGAAGTGATAACTAGATTTCGACTTAAGGTTTTAACCATTTTGAGGTTAGCTTCGAAATTGAGTTTCATAAGGACGACGTCGCCACCAAGGAGGTTTTGCTGAAGGTGATCGCCGTCCTGTGCATCATCGCACTGTTCCTCGCCATGCTGAAGACTTACAGCTGGTGTCGGCGCTGT